GACTCCTGTTTGAGAAACCCTGATCTAGGAGGTCACCTGATTAAATAAATAGGTGGCAGTTTAAGAACATACATAAGATAGTACTTCTTCATACAAAACACAGTCACTTATGGAATTCATTGCCAGGGGATGTTGTAAGGGTCAAAAGTATAACTGGATTGAGAAGAGAATTAGATATGTTCACGGAGGATAGGTCCATCAATGACTATTAGCGAAGATGGTCAGGGACGCAACCCCATGCTCTGGTGTCCCTAAACCTCAGAGTGCCAGAAACTGGGACGGGACAACAGGGGATGGATCACTTGAAATTGACCTGTTCTGTTCATGCCCTCTGAAACATCTGGCACCGGCCACTGTCAGAAGGCAAACTACTGGGTTAGATGGACCATTGTTCTGAACCGCTGTGGCCGTGTGTTCAGATGTAAATCCCATTGACTTCAGTGGGAGATGAAGGTGCTCAGCACGTCACAGGAACAGGCCCCAACTGTTGCAGAACATAATAACCCATCCCTAAAGCTATGATCTGGGAAAGGAAAGCTTGTACCACTGCAAGCATCAGCTAAAAAGCAAAAAGGAGAACCCAAAGCCAGTTTCTGCTGCTCATTTGTTGGGAACTTGACCACATTTTACTTTACAGATAAGCCTCTGGACCATCCCTCTTCTCTTCTGGACCACAGCTGTGTCACAATGAGTTAAAACGATATGAGTCAAATCCTGCTTTTATGTATTCCAATGTGAATCAGAAGTATTTCCACTGACATCAATAGAATTTACCCCATATATTTCCCATGATTTAATAAAAGAGACATCATTTCCCCACTCTTTACCAAAACAATGGTACCTTCCATTTCATGTTAATCTCTTTATAAGCTTGTCCATATAAATATAGTATTGAATAAATGATTATATTGGATTCTTTGTAATCCATCCTTTTCATTTGCATTATAGACAGTGTATGATGAAAAGCACTAGTGCGTGCCTTCTCCTCTGATGCCATGTGACACTTTCCCCTTGTGAAATGGTCCGATATCTTCAGGGGAGAGCTGCCCTCATCATGACTGTCAATGTACAAGAGAAAAGAACAGCTTTGTCTTCTGTAACTGAACATTCCACCACACCAGTCTAATGGGTTAGTGGTTAGAAAATATCCAGCGTGAGAACTCAAACAAATTGGAAAACTACGACCCTAGGGATCACTGATTCTTGAGCTTTCCCTGGGAATAGGTGCCAAATCTACTATGTTAAGTTGCTTTATTTTTTTCTCTATTCCCTGCTACATAAATAAGCGTGTTTCACCGGAGTTTAGCCCCATAGAGACTCTTGCAATTCCCTCAGAAAATAGAAGAGAAAGGACTAATGGAGAAAACCTGTACCCCAATGTTTTTTGCAGTGTGGAGCAGCTGGTCTATCACCACTGACTTTCTGCACTTCCCCAATAGATGTTGTGGTTTGCTCTTGTTCTGAATCCAGAAAGGAAATAGCAGAAAGAGATATTACAAATGTGAACTGAAGATTAATTCTTAGGAATAGAGCTGACGGGAAAATGAGGATTCTATCGGAGCTGCCAATATTTCAACGTTTACTTTCATCCTGACTTGGGATGAAAAATCAAAAGCATTGAAATTTGTCAGGAAATGACCATTTCCAAAACATTGCACTAGCTGCCCCAAGCCTATCTACAACTTCAGAGACAGTGCACCCATGCTTGAGTATTTGTAGAGACCTACACAGGCATTGCAATGGAGAAAGAGTTTCTCTTGAAGCTCCCGACTGTTATTTGTTTAGTATCATCACCACAAGGGACATATTTCTAAATTAAAAGTAAATAGTTCATTTAATTAAGTGTTGGAATCCAAAGAAGAATGGGAAAGCAGGAAGCAGCAGTCTGTTACAAAACGTGTCTGCATGCAAATCCAGGCACATAGTCACACTTAGGGAAATGACTGAAAATTGAATACCTCCAGTATATAATAGAAATGCCGTCAGATTTCTTACAGACTGTGACGAGCAAGACAAGCTGTATGTCAAACCTGAGCTAGAATAACCAGGTTGCCTTTTCATTACCACCTATGCATTAACAGCATGGTCTGGAAACACAGACACTCATGTTATCACAGTGATATCCATTTATGCTTGAGAAATACACAATTTCCTCTGAACAAATGAAGGTTTTACCAGTAATTAGTATCCCAAAATGGTGTGCTGCTGGTAGCCTGCATTTACTTGCTCTTTGCCTACTATTTAGGATACTTGTTTCAGGAACAAATGTTTGAAGTGTCTTGGAAGGTAGCGTTATACTGTGACAGGAAAATCATCCTCTGCATTATAGTAAAATAAAAACGGTCAGACAAAGAACCTTCCATGTTCAAACCACCAGATTTTTCCATTGGCTGAAGATTCTAATACTGTTCCTCTTCTTTGGAAATGATAGGTTGGTTTGTGCAACATGGAATAGTTAATGGTCCAGTCCATTTAAATATTCAGAACCCCCCAACCCAAATACATGTATACGATTGCTTTAAAGAACATAAAGGGTAGGGAGGTGAATTTTCAGTTGGAAATGAGTGAATAATTTGTAACCAAAACTGTATTCAACACATTTTGCACCATCTTCTGTTCACGAAGGCCATGATCCACCAAGGTAATTAAACTTATCATGACTAACTTTACACATGAGTATTCCCACTGAAGTCAATAGGAACACTCACATGCTTTTAATCGGGTGCCTAGCTGAATCAGGGCTACATTGTCTGCAGAAACCCTTCTTTTTCTCAAAATGTATTCACATGTAGAATCCTTTGCCCATTAAAGTCTCCAGTAGTTCTTGCCCTACAGGTTTCTCACAGCTCTTCATGATAAGGATTCAATACACTAAATTTGAGCTGTTCTGAGTGACTTGTACGTCTCATGGCATTGTTTGTGTTCTCCCATCCTAACTGGGTGATCCTGACTCTTAG